ATAAATAAATAAATGAATAAATATATATATTTATATATATGCATACATACATACAAATCGATTTTACACTAAAAAAATCATTTACACTGCATACACATTTTGATAATATTAGTTATGCATAATAATGAGAATTTCTATTGTTTAAAATGTATGCTGCAATTTTATTATTAAAGATTTTGCATAAATTTAATGTATGAAATGAAGTTTTACATATTAATTTGTTGTCCAAAAATTAAATGAAATATAATGTATAATACTAATCAATTGGTAATTTGATTTTATTTTGATCTGCCTCATATTCATCGAATATGTCACTAGTTATTTTTCACCATTTTTGTGCGAAATATAAATTTAATATAGAGTTTGACTGATGTTTGCACACAGTTATGTTTGTTTGTAATAATCCATTGCGCACATATTGGTTTCATCCACCTACCTCTTTATTATATATGTATCATATTTTGATCAATATTCATATGTAAATAATGCAAAATTCTGGGAATTTATTTCTATATGCATTACGTATAAAACAGACCAGCCAGATTTCTATATTCTGGGGATTGTATTTCTGCCACAAATTATCGAATTATCAATAACTATAAATAACTATGCACTATTTGCCTTGAAATATATTATAACAACATAATATACTTTTTCAATATCCATACCCTTGCAAGATTTAAATGAAAGTCAATTCACGACCAAGTTTCCCATTTCCAATGGCAAATGCGTTTTCAAGTGAGTCTATATCTAATAGTTAGTTACACCAAGAACTCACTTACAATGTAACATCTAATACCATTCAATAAAACGAGTAAGCTCACTTATAATGGTTTAATTCCTCAAGATCTCCAGCACGTGCTCCTTTTAATCTTAAGCCAGATATAAAGCTCTTATCTAAATGTTCAGAGAGGGAACACACATCAATTCATATCCGCGAACATTCGAGATCTATATTATATCAGGTGAATGCTTTAAAGCGAAATAAAATGCCAAAGATCTATAAAATAAAGGTGAAAACCTACATTTGAAAAATAGATGGTAGTAAAGTTGTTGGTCATGCATTTTTATCTAAACACCGTAGGTGGTGCTGGGGCTATAAATCAGTTTTATGAGCATTCTTTAATTATAGAAAGGAGAGAGAGGTTTAGTATAAATAGCACAATTTTACCTTGAATCAATGAAATTTTGATCATGATTGTTTAACAGTTGAGAGACCAATTTTTTGGTAACTGGCTGATAAAATAGCGTTGTTATGGCAACGCAATTTCATCTTTTTTTCTTGGTACTAAAAACTTTGAAAATGCTATATCTTTCCTGTGCGAGCAGGCCTATTTCACATATAAACAATTTTAGGAGGAATATTATCATAACTGGACCTCTGTGCTGAACAAGTAGCAACTAGATAGCATTTTTAGTTTTTAGTTCCTAGAAAGAAAGATAGGAATTTACCGCAGAATTGGCTGCTGAATTTCAAATTTGAAATTGAACCCGTATTTTTTAGATTTATATATATTTATATTGTATATAAAAATACATTATTCAATTTTAGGCACAAACTCATTATTACCCGGATGTAATTTCCACGAAAAAGCCTTCAATGTAAAATGTTTCGTATTACGTGGATATCAATTTTGCAAAGGTTAATAAATCCAAATACTGATCGTAAATGCCAATACAGGAAATTATATGAGAAATATTATATCGCTGGAGTATATTATTTCCTTATTGCGTGACTGCTTCTCTAGCGTGCTAAGTAAAGATCATCTTTTCATATACATTATTAATGATGATCTTTCAATCATGATGTTTCTATTTCCACTAAAATCTATGTAATTATTAATGATAATGAACTGATATGCAATTTTGTCTTTGACTCTTATATAATTTATTTATCAAATTTAACAGAATTCCAGTCCAATCATTTGGTCGTTTTGTCGGTCTAGTACTCGGGAATTCTGAAAATTGATGATCTTATAGATTTCGAGGTGCTCTTTACGAATTTCAACTTTGCCACCTTGAATTTTCACATCACCTATTTTGCAATCGAGGTGTTCAATTATTAGCAAAAAAGCAGAAAAATATTTTTTTATTTCTAAAACCTTTTCGCTTAATTTAACATTAGAAATATTTATTTATCAAAGAGAATGTCGTCAAGTTCATAGAGCAATCAAATAGAGGGAGATCCAATATGGCGGCGAGAGCAGCAAAGATTTTGAGGCGCCTATGCTCTTAAACTACTGATTTTACAAAAAATCGGTCATCAAATTAATTGTAATAAATTTTATCTAGTTCAATTCGTATATAGCTACTTTTATCGTAGAATGAGCCGGAACGGATATATTTTGAAAGAAACTGTTTTTGACGCCATTTTTAATATGGCGGCAACTTACCGTGAAAAATTGAAGTGACAAAGTTGAAATCCAGAAAGAGCACCTCAAAATCTATTATATTACCATTTGCAGCATTTCCAGAGTACTATACCGGCAAAGCCTTTTTTGAACCAAATGACATTTAATATTTAGATCCTTTTTGTATATATAATAGGTATATTGATCAATATTAATCAATATAATACATTATCTATACTTGAAAAAAATATTATAGATTATTTGATAATTAAAATATAATGAGAATATTTACAATTTAAGAATATTGATTTTTGACAATTTATAGGCCTAGAATTCGACTTTAGGGTATAAATTACATACAGAATACAATAAATGAGTTGGAATATTTACAACTGATATTTTAAACAGCAAATAATGCTCGAAATAGTATTAAATTTGTATTATGACGATTTATTTATATTTGATCTAATTTTAAGACAAAATATTATTCGATATTGTTAATGTTGAAACTTTTGAATAAAATTTTCACGTTTAATTACTTACCACACGAGTATA